TCTGCATGCTTTAAACCACATGTGTCAAACTCAAGGCCCGGGGGCCAAATCAGGCCCTTGGTGGATTTCATTTCGGCCCGCAGGATAATTCCTAATTACTATTAGATCTGGCCCGCCGGTATATTGCACGCACACCTTCACTCAATCCTGAGGGTTTCTTCAGCTCAGAGCCTGAGCCCAAACATTGATGAACTTGCACCCAAGATGAGATGCCAAGTATCTGGCTTGAGCTAGCATCACAGAGCAGCACACTGAGTTTACATGGATGTTTCCTTCTGCACTTTTTCTCTCACGACAACAGGGCATGTTTGGTTTTTTCTTTGAGGGAAATAGTTTTTTTGAAGCTGTTGTTGGCCTGTGGAAAAATGTAATCATAAGAAATGACTGATGAAAAGCTGCAGATAGAGCCATAAGAAATGACTGCAACTGATTATTTAATGTTGTTTTTATTGGCAATAATTTAAGCTTTGTTAGTTCCAGGTTTAATATGTGCAATAACTTCATTTCAATAACTTTTGCAATAAACATTGAACCAGTCCGGCCCTCGATTAGTACCCATTTTTGTATTTTGGCCCACTGTGTATTTGAGTTTGACCCCCCTGCTCTATGTGATCACCTTCAATCATAACCATACAACTAAGTTTACATGGATTGCTGAAGCACAAGGATTAATACGACAGAAAAAGTATTGTTAACCGTGCTACTACAGTCTTCAAATAAAAAACACACACATGCAGTAAAGTTCACACAGTTAAAGCTGTTTGTTAATGCAGGTTCAACAGTGAGTTGAAAAATGTGTTTTATGAGTAAGATTGCAAAGAACACTTTAGAATACATGTATTTGTGTTTTCTATGACATACTTGTAATTACAAGATGAACTATTTTTTCGTGAAGAGTCATTTCTATATAAATAATCAAATGCTTTTATGAATTCTTCTGAGTGCATTTATTAGTAGTGAGGCTGTTTATGTAGACTCACAGTGAGGGATCATGGACCAGGTCCTTCAGGTTGACTCCACTGCGGTCCTCAGCCAGGTTCCTGAAGCAGCTGTCACTCACTGGAGAGAGGGGAGTCCAGGTTACAGAACAGAAACACCTCCAGCACGATGAATATGATGCTGTTTACTACATATGGAAATCAAACTGATCACCGATACGCTGGTTGTCTTCAAAGGGTACAACCTCATCTGATACTCATGTTTGGGGGTTTCTCTTTCCTGTAGTGTGTTATATAGGTTTCTGTGTAAATGGTCTGCAAAGGCTAAAATCCCTGTGTTCCCTCCAGAGATTACAAGTGTCAATAAAAATGTCTTATAATTGATCATATTTTAAAATGTATCGGCTAACTCTTGTAAAGTCGTTTGGCTTTGACACTAGCTAGAGGCACCTTAGCCCATAGATAATATATTCACAATTTAGTACAACGTACATTACCTTCCCTTTATTTCAATGATCCACCCAAACTAGATTTTTCTATATCTTTCTTAATGTCAAATATATCCATTACAAGACCATTACGTTTTGTTCAAACGTAATGTTGGGTTTTTGAAAACCCCAACCACACTGAACATGCAATGAAGGACATGGGAAGGGGCCACCCCGTAACATAAGCCATTGCTGCTTGTGTGATTTCAAACTTATAGGTTCTCAAGAGATTGACGTATATTTATTTTTGAGAAAATAAAAATAAAATTCCCCATATGTCCCTCAAAGTAAATTGTACTTACTAAGATAGTAGATTTTTCCACAGTAAATATTATAATTTGTATTTTGGGGGTTTTTCTGCCTATATTGTCAGATCAGCCTAAAATGAACAGGAAGTCGGAGAGACAGATAAAAAATACATCGAACAGTCAAATTCAAACCTTGTGTGTTCAGGTACTTTCAATTCAGATTAACAAAGACTTGGTGAGCTAGTGAGAATTTACAGGACGGTGTGACGAGTGAAAATAAGTGAGAAGTGACTATTTCCAGTATCAGAGGTTACAACACACAACCACTTTACTACCTTTACTAACACCTCTGAGATTAACCACTTCTTGGATTCATTTATTTATTTCATCACAAATCATGATCTTTTCCTAAACATAACCAAGTAGTTTTGGTGCAAAAATGTCAGTGTTTCAAAGGCGAATCATGTTGTAGGCATGTTCCATGGTACTTTGAAAGTGCAAATAGACCATCTTGAAGTAAACTACAGTGGTCTTCACTGATGGTTACTTAGGCAAGGCAAGTTTATTTATATAGCACCTTTCAACACAAGGCAATTCAAGGTGCTTTACAAACATGAAAGACATTCAGACAAAGGCATTTAAAAAGAGTCATTAAAAAGGAAAAGATAATAAAAGAAACATTAAAAGAAAAAATACATTAATAAAAAGTACATGAATAAAAAGCTACAGTGCAGCTTAAGATATGAATAGTTCACACAGAAGTTCCATTTTACTGATGCCTTTCTTTAAGGTTTCTCCGAACATGAGTTGTGTACGCTTGTGTGTCACATACATCCCGAGTAGCATACACAGAGAAAACCAGCCAGGACAGAGTCCCCAGACACTGATTCCCTGGGGTTACTAGCCCCAAATGTTCATTAACCTTAGGCCCTTCATCCACATATTGTCTTTTTCCGAAAGAAAGGCACTTGCAGGGCACTAAGCAGAGCATCCTCCAAGCATTTTATCAGAAAATTGCTCCCGAGGTTTGAATTTTAACATTGTGTTTTTCAACACCAACCGACTGGCTCTAGAGCGAGCACGAAAATCCGCTTATAACGATAAAAGTTCTACACTCACTGGCAGCAACATCCATTGAATAACTGGTCGATATCCTAAGAAAGAAACTGGCTTTTTTTAAATCTCTGTTATGATAATTACCAGCAAAAAGTAATAATATCTATCTATGCCAAACAAATTTCTCATTTAATTTCTACAGCGCATCTCTAAAAAGTTGGAATATTTTCAACATCAACTCCTCGGAGTGGCCGCACATAAATGGCGAAACACTCACAAAAAATACGCTAGGAGCGTTTTTTTTCCTCTAGAAAGTCGTTTCTGCCAATTCCTCATTGGAAACAATTTGATTTCCTTTGTGGACACAGGTTTTCATATGTGTTGCTTGATTGTGTTTTCAGTGAGTAAAATACAAGAATCAGGCTTGTATACATAACACTCATTCCTAGGATCTATTAATTGCTGGTTTGTGTCTTTAAAATGGAATTAGTTTACAATGCTAAAAATATCAAATTTCCCCAGCTTTCATGTTCTATATGTAGGATTTGGCAGCATCTAGCATTGAAGTTTCATATAATCGTACACTGATGATAAAAATAGGTAGAAATATTGTATTTAATTTCTGCTAATAGCTCCCCCTAAAAATACCACACACTGGCCCTTTAAGTGGTTTCCCCTTTGGACACAGAGCTCTTTGGTAAAAACACGGCCTCTGTCTGAAGTATTTCAGCTAAATTTAGCACTCCTCGTACACTGTGTAGCTTGAACCTGGCTCCTTCTGCCCAGTAACCACAGGAGGAACATCTCATATCTGTGGTTTGACTGCTGATTTAACAACCAGCCTGTGACTTTGCCTATAGTAGTACCAACACATCATTATGTATTCATCTTTTCGACACCTTTTGCTCCATTTATGTAAGCTTAGATCTAATTTAAACCCCATCTTTCTTTCTTTCTTTCTTTCTTTCTCACACACACACACACACACACACACACACACACACACACACACACACACACACACACACACACACACACACACGCTGCTGTTTGGCTAGCCGAGATGCTAGTTTATCAAAAGCACGACAGGCTTCCCGAGCAGCTGCTGGGGAGCATCCGCTTAGCATTTTTCTCACGTCTTCCCCTGCTTTGGCAAGGAGAAGCAGTGGTACTGGTGACCGACCGGTGGCTGTCACACGGCTGTATACTGGTCCCAGTCCTCCTCCGCACGACTCACAGGCGAACATCAGCCGAGCTAATTAGCGAAGCTGCTAAAACAACCTACACAACATAATGCATTTCGCCTGGGCAGTGCGCCTTGGCTTCTTATTAGCTTTTAATAGCTTCCAAACGCACGATTTATGATTAATAAACGTGCATTTCTGATATGACGGAAAAGTCCTCTTAAAACCAGTGTGAAATGGCCGTCAAAGGAACCATATACATAAATGTTAATGAAGAGCACCCCCAATAGCGGACAACAGAGCGGATCTGCAAAGGGACATGAATAATGCAGCTCATGTAGGCTCTGTATCGCTATTTTGCTTGGAAATATAAACGCAAAGGTGACCAGACACAGCAGAGAAAAATGGGAAGTACGATGGGTTTGCCTTCAAAATAAAAGCACAAATCTTAGTTAAAAACTCATTGCAGCACTTGCTCGCCAAGGAATAGCCACCTAGTTTTGAAAGTCTTTGCTAGGTGTTCTTTTTCCTACTGTCTCACTTGACACTGATTCAAATATAAATGTCGTGTAGCTACATAGTATGTAACTGAATATGACAGCCATGTTCACATGTAAATATAAACGGTATAAACATCACTACATAATTGCAAATATCATCGCGACATACTAGTCCCACATCTGTGCGACCTGTCAAAAGGCAGGCAGCTAACGTTAAAGCAGTGACAAGTCAATGAAACCGGTTAGCTTAGCATAGTGGCTAACGATAGCTAGCTCGACGGCGAAGGCAGCCCGTATCGTGACACCGACGTGCACAGGCAACCGACGACAAAACGCCACAGAGGTGCACTGCAGAGAAGCATTTTATTGCATTTTATCACACAGTGTCCTTACCCGTCAGAATCCCCACTCGGGTCTGATGGTCGTGGTTGGTGAGCACCATCCCGTCCGCCGCCATGTTTACAACCTCTGTCTGCACTGTGCCCGCACATACATAGAAACAGTGAGGTGGTGTGCGGGCTGCTGCTGCTGCACCACCTCTGGAGGACGGCTCTGTGTGTGTGTGAGCGTGCATGTCCTCTGCTTTAAGGGGTCCTCGTCCTCCAATTAATAAGTGAAGATGTTGGGCCGCCTCAAAAAATCACTAGTAGAGACTACAACACCCAGACTGGTACTGTGTGAAATCCCCCAAAATGAGTAAGGTGACCTATTTGTGAATCGTAGTGTCTGATCATTCATCAATCAGTGCTCCATTTTGCACACAATGTTTTCTAATTGTGTTGGAAGAAGCATACCACAAGCAGTAATTATGCTTTACTGTGGAAAAAATAGGTTTAATTTAGCTATAAGGGGACATTTGGTCCTTGATTTCCTGCTAGCACAGTATGGGCAGTGGTGGTCTTAGGATGTCAAAGGTGCAGGGGACAAAAAATGAAAAGGCCACCAGCTGCACTCTTCCCCCTACCACTTAGGGAAGCCCCTTTGACACAAAATCAAACAGATATTTCCACAATAAAAACTACATCATAGTCAAATGGCTGCACGTCATATCCGCTAAGCTAAATGTGGACTTATACTAAACGTCATCGAGTGTCCGGCTCAATGGCGTTTAGTAGTCTCATTTAGCCATTTGCTAGCAAGCACCGTTTTTATGACACTTGACAAATTAGATAAATAGGAGAAATTGGAGGAATTCCATGTCAAATATCATCTGTGTTTATTATTGACCTTAAAATCAATTGATAGGACGGCTATAATCAATGCATGTAGATTTATATATTGTCAAATGCAAGTTATTTCAAATAAAAGCCTGTCCCGTAAATAGGGTGGAATTAAAAATATATACATTTGGCAAGCCAACGCTGTAACTCTAAACACAAAGAATCTCGCTCAGCTTAAGGACGACTTATTCCCCAGGTAAACTAAAGCAGAAAAAAACACTTATAAACAGGGCCGTGGGAAGTAGGGGTGCTGAGGGTGCTGCAGCACCCCCTGGTGGAAGACAGGGGATCTGCACTTCCACAAGATTAAATACAAATATAATACAAAAAAATGAATTTTCAGCCTTGATGTAACAACATTCATAATTAAGTAAATTTAACACCCTTTTCACCCCGGTTACATTTTCCATTTGCCCCGTACGATGGGTGCTGTAAGTGATGAAAGTGGGGGATGTTGGCTTATCAGGCGCCCGCAGCTCACAGCCAGCGTGAGAGAGAGAGAGATAGATAGATAGATAGATAGATAGATAGAGAGAGGGGGTGCACAGGTACCGGCGGGGAATGTTGTTAGCTTCTGCTGCGCTAACGGATATAAGAAGCTGTTTCTACAATAATGTGGAGGGAGAGATCTCCTGTCAGACTGAGAGGCTCAGTGAGGTAAAGGACTCTTGAGTGTTTAGATAGTTCCCTTTAGTCTAAGTTATCTCAGTGGGTCTCAAACGTTTTGATCACAATTTATGTAAACAAATATTTCCAAGGCACTCCTTTATAATTATTAGGATAAATAAAAACAGGTTTGAAATCATTCCAATGTATACTATAGGACAGTAAACCAAAAATATTGTTTAAAACTGGAGATATTTAAAAATATGCATAAATAAATAAATGTTAACTGATAAAATAAGATATAAATTAACCACAAAAATAAAACAAGTTAGCCTACATTTATTTGTTATTTGCTATGGTAGGTTATTGGATATGTTCACATACTTATTTGATTATTAAAATGCAAACCGATCTTTTTCATATGGGTGTTTTAGAGTTGTATCCCCTAGATCAGTCTCTAGTTTGGGGGCTCAAAGTGCACCAGATTTAAGCATTTTATTTTAAAATGTTAAAAAAAATCTTCCCGGTGGAGGACCCCCGGACCCCCCTAGAGGATGTGTAGCCCAACCCCGAATTAAAACATGTTCATGCAATACTGAATACATTTGAAGCCTTTTTATATAAGCTGTCCACCATATCAATACGTTTCTCTGTTTGTAGTGTAGTGGTCTTTTGTAGAAGTTTTTCATTGCCAGCTAAAATCTCTCCTAGGGCAGCAAGTTGGTCAAAACCGGCCCTGGAGTCATCCCCAGAGCACCCCCCATTTGAAACATGTTCCCACGGCTATGCTTATAAACAAACCAAAATATAAGCAGGCCTATCTGGCTCATCTCATTTAAATTAAGGCATCCTGCTGCCAGCTTGAATGCTACCTTGGCCAGTTTGGCCCCCTAGGAATAGATTTAGCTAAAATCACTTATGAAGACTTTGCAGTTATTAAATTGAAGCCTCCATAATCGCAAAGAGCTGTCCTTATGGCAATGCTTCTTGTTGCTTGCGATGAGTGCGGTTAGTGCTAACTAGTGCTTCAATTTTTCCGGTCAGTGTTCGGGCAATACCGGCTAACAGAAACCCTGGTCACATGTCTTGGAAGGAAGAACTACATGTTTCATGTGACGGATGTGTGACAGAACTCGCTGACCAAGTGTGAAATCAGCATGCTGAGTAGAACACAACATACATTGAAATGTCGCCAGTGCCGAAAATGACCGATTGCTCATGGAGCATGTGATGGGGGTGGCTGCTACATCTGGGACATCCTGCTCCACCTGTGTAGTGTCAGAAAGAGTTTGGCAAAATGGCTAATGCTTGAAATATGTAGAAATTATTATGTTTGTTCTTTTTTTTTTGACTAATTGTATTACATTTATCTTTTCAACTTAATCATCAGAATAAGGGAGGGAAAACAGGGCAATGTATCTCTATTGTTGATTAATCTGTTTTTATAATGTCAATTGCTTGGTATTCACTAACTAAAATAATTTTTAAAATAACCTTTTCAGTGATTTTAAGAGTAATGATGGGTAATTTGATATATTTTGATTTATAATTTTTGAAAAGAGTTGAGTTGTCCGTTACTTAAATGAATGAAAAGTCATATTGTGCAACACTTCACAGCTTAAAAAAACTATAACAGACTCAAAGAGAAAGACTAAAAACCTAGTATACTCAACACTTCTACAAATTGAGATGTCCATTACCTAATTTTCTTTGGATACATAAAATATATTAACAGTACTTATGAACTTATAGAAGAAGAACAACATCTAAAATAGAGCCACCTTTAAAGCTGACAAAACAGAGACAAAGCCATGACCCACAGGTGTTCTCACTTACCTGATTACAACATATTGTCTTGACATTAGATAGCCTTGCAGAACAAATAAATCCAAGCGTGACCTATTCACGCTTGACCCTAAAAGCTGCTAATATTTAAATTATATAAGCCTTCCGTGCAATACGAGGGGAATCGTGCAATTTAATTTATTATTTATTTATGTACATATTCCCTATCATGTCTATTTAAGTCCCATTTCTTGTTTTTATAGTGTCTTGTTGTTTTTATATTGTCTTGTTGTTTTTATATTGTCTTGTTGTTGCGTGTTGGCACCTTGAGTTCATTGTAATTTTATTGTACCTGTACAATGACAAATTAAAGATCTATCTATCTATCTATTCATGTGAACCCTACAAGTAAAACTGCCTCATTAAATTATTGGGGAATACAGTTCAGTCTATTTGCATTATTTATTAGGATACAGATTTATTGATGTAATGCAATCCCCATTATAGTTTCACTGAACCTGAACCCAAGCAGAGGTTTAATCATCATGAACTGGAAACGTCTTTGTCTTCCTAAAATCATTTTGGAACTACTGTATATATCTTTGGTTTTATAATGATGTAATTTCTCACAAAAACTAGTAGGTCTGTCATTAGCAATAATTTCTAGCAATTCAGTAATAGTACTTACGTTCCTTCCTGGAATTGTTAGTTTGACAAAAAAAAAGCTGATGTCCTGTTAATATTTTATTTCCCCTGACATTTGAGATAATCACATGATGGAAAATTAGTTCAAATGATTTGGACCATAATACCAATACTATTACAGTTCAGTCTCCAGTGTAGATGATTTTTATAGTCGTTACATCTTGCTCCTCTACAGGTTTTGAGTTTTTTAGCTCATCGTTTCCTATTGAGAAGAGGCTGGAGTTGACTTTGAGAACCCATTCTGTGATCCTCTGCTCAGTGTAGTACTCATCCTCACTGTCCTCCTTCAGCCTCTCCAGACAACCACAGCACTCAGATTCTGTTTCAGAAGCTGAGACATCAGAGCAGAGATCTCTTTGTGTCCTTGCTTCGGCGGGCCTAGCATCAGGTTTAACCGTGACGGGCATCATCGTATTGCTGTCATTGGCACCGGGATCAGCAACGTCATATTTATTTTGTCGTACCGTAGGGTCCACTGTTGCTGGATTTGCTCTTATCTCTGCTTCCTGGATTGCTGTTTTGTTTGCTGCTGCAAGAGCAACACAGACTTTGAGATATTTGTTAGACTCATGGATAACTTTCCCACGTAGTTTAACCAACAGATGAAACACTGTATTTTCTATGATTACAGTACCGGTTGGTAAATAGGGTCTATATTCCTTTGGTTTAGCCCATTCCTTTCTGTCCACTGGTAAATCACCAGTGGTTCTTGATTGGTGGAAGAGAGATGCTTTTCATTTGTCTTGGTTTGGATGGACCCTTTTAGACATTTTGACTACGCCAGGACGTGTGCAGTACGGGCTAATATTTGCTGCTTGTGAATAAAATGATGATCCTGTGCTGTTGTTGCAACAATCCGTAGAGCACATCATCCCCAGTTCCCCCAAACACCGGCCACCGAATGGCAACCGTGGTCCAATTGACCTCAACAAAGCTGAAGGTCTAAAGACAAACGCCAGAAGAAGATGAACCGTCAGTACACCATTCCTATGGATGCTGATCTCCAACGATTTACTTCTCAATTCAGAAACATTATATCCCTGTCATAACCCTAACCCTAACTGGTTGATGTCTTTAGCTTGAACAGTTTGTTGCATCCTCTGTCAGAAAAATGTGATCTATCTTTGGACGCAGGCAGACTGTCAACCTTTCCTTATACTCCCTTGCCCTCGAAGATCCGCCCAGTCCACAGACACATATGCACACACACACAACCCAGAGCAGTCACTTAATCTGTAACATTACCCATTGGTTACCTGAAAGGACCTAAACCCTTGGACAGTTGAGGTGCAAAAGATATTGTGTTTATTTCTTATTTGCTTTTGCTCTATTCTTGAATGAGTTGCTAAAACAAGTTTAAATTAAGTTTTTTTTTCACTGCACTGTACAATAAACGTTTGTATTGTATTCACTTTGCCCGGTGAATGTTTACAAACTGTTGAAATTGTAATCTAAAAAGCTCAGGGAGCTAGCATCAAAAAGCTCACTCGACAAAAAGTCAATGGTATTCGGATTTTGAAATATTGCAGAAAAAAATATCTTTGGGAAAAATACGTACAGTATGTGATATTTACACTTTTTGTTTAGTAGCTGAATTTCCACATATTAACATTAGTTTTATAATTGTCGAAGCTTAAATGCAACGGGCAGAGGTAAATATCTCTAACTAACTACACCACGGTCACATGACTTTACTAAGCTTAAGGCGGCTAAGTATCAGCGTCATGAAGTTTAATAGTCTCATTCACGTAAAAAAAAACGTAAAAGCTTCACAAGTTCACAGGTTGTGAACAGGATGTGTTTTGTGTCACAGAACAAAAGGTAAAATGTTGTAAGTTTATTTTAACCATAAACGTTATTTCGGAAATGTAGTCGAAAAGACAATCAAATAACTGCTTATTTCAATACTAGGGAGCACGGAAATGCTAAAATGTAACCTATTTCGAGATTTGGAACTCATTGATTCGGCCCTCTATAGGCTTATGGAATGTTTACCAGCTTTAGCAGACATACAATAGCCCATCAAACTGTTGCAGCAATCGCAGTTTAGAAAATGTTAAGACTGTTTCAAAAAGCTAATCCACCCAGGATTTCTATGAAGCGTCCCCGGCTATAAAAAAAAAGGTTTGTTATCTCGCAGTGCTTCTCAAAGTGTGGTCCGCGGACCACTGGTGGTCCGTGAGTGTCCCCTAGTGGTCCGTGACTATATTGGTAAAATTTCACATTTTAAATAAATAAATAAATGTAAGTTTTCCGCACTCTCGCGGGAATATTTCCGCAATGGAGCAAGATTAAGTTTAATTTCGATTGCATAATATAGCCCAGCCCAACACCTTCATCACACATGTTGCCACTTGTTTGTACAATGTTCAGGTGATTTGTAATCTGTTCTAGAAAAACTATGTGTTTTTGGATATTTGTGGAGTTAGGTGGTCCGTGAGTGTTTTTTTATTGGTTAAGTGGTCCTTGGTATGAAAAGGTTTGAGAAACACTACAGCCATGATTGTAACAGACCTGAATTAGACCTCAATGAGACAACATGACTCCAGCAGGATACACAGAGTCAGTGCACCCTGCTCTTGCCATTAACAAACTAAATACAAAGTGTTAATTAGTTCTAGATTAAGCCAGCTGGCTGTTTCCCCCGCCTCCTGTCTTTATGCTTAGCTAGGCTAACATTCCTTGNTGTGTCCCCGGTCGCGTCAGGGGAACTCATGCAGGGTCAGAAAATAAAACCCTCTCTCTTTTCCTCCGTACCCAAATCCTTTAAAAACAGGGAGCGGATACAGATTTGCTGCCGATCTGACGTCAAATCGGCAGCGGACCCACAGAGAGTTGCTATCAGAAACAATGCCTGATGTGTTTTGGACGTAATCTCGTCTTTGTCTACATTAGCAAGCCTCGCTAACACTCAGAGCTAACCTGTACTGAAGAGCACATGTGTTTAAAAAGCAGGAAATAAAAAAAGGAACTCACCTTGTGATAAACCCGCAAGAGAAAAAGCATTTGAGTCCATACTGTTTCAGAAATAATCTTTCATCTGGTTTAGAACAGGATGGCGTTTTATCACAGCAGAATTTAACTTTATCTCTGGTAGAATTCTGATCAGGCATTAGCTCCGCCTCTTCTTTTCTTTTTTTTCAAGCTAAGGACCCAAAATCCGCATTTCTCTAACAGGGCTGCAAAAGAGGGGTATGATGAGCAGTATGAGGCATGGCTACAATGGGTGATCTGTTTGGTAGATCACAGCACAAAACTTTAGACATGTTTTGTATAGGTATGGCCCTACAATATATGTTTCCAATATAGCATAATAAGTCCACTTTAATTTTCTTCAGATTCAGAAATGTATTTATTTTTTTATTATTTTTTATAAATAATGGGACACAGGGTTCAGTCCGGATCCGGACCTTGGTCCGGAGTTTGAGAAGCCCTGCTTTAAACCTTCAATTTAAAGACATTGTTTCATTGTTAGTAAAGGAGTGTATGATTTAGTATTTGGGATCTATTGGTTTATTTTTGTGGTTTCACCTTGTTTCTGGTAAAGTGACAAAATAGACAATGAAAGGGAGACTAATGTATTTTTCCAAAATGCACCCAAATAGCCAGAACATAACCTTGGGTGCTTTCAATGTCATGTATAGCATCTTTCCTAATTCATTGTCTATGAAACAGCTCCAGACTTTATAATGACATCGATGAGTTTATGTGTAAAAAATGTTATCCGGGAAAGAGTAGAAAATGGGCGTAATTCCCCTTTAAAGCAGTACAAGCAGTAAGCAGTTACAATGACAGAAGTAGAATGAGAAAAAGCAGTACTACAACTGGAAACACTAACTGCAGTACATTGCTCACCTGGGGTCAATAACAAAATGAATTTTCATATAAAACAACCCATTCCCCCACCTTAAATTACCCCCAGCCACACTCCACCCCTTTCCCCCATCTCACCCTGGCTTCATAAAGACTCGTCCAAAGTGGATCTGAGCATGAAGATCAATATCCAGCACCTGCTTTAGGTAGTCCTGATAAAACATACAAACACAGACAGGTGGATAACAATAACACTGTACAACTGAAACTTAATAAAGCAAAAAAATATACAGTGAAAAACGTTTATGATAATTTGGCTGCCTACTTTTTAAAAGACCAGAATATCTACTCAAAATGTCATGAACTTAGTGATTGTTAGCTACCTTCTCTCCCATGGACACACCCCCTGAGGTGATGATGACATCGGCACGACTGATTCCCTCATGGAGAGCCGACAGCAAGTCATCAGGGCTGCAAACACAAGCATGATACATTCAACTCAGTTTAAGAAGGAGTGCAACTCAGCAGGATAATCTCCACATTTGAACAACACTTGGATGATTTTTGAAGTGAAAATGCGATTGCCAGATTAAAAAAAACTAACATTGAGCTAGAAATGGATCACACCACATCGCATGACTTCATGTCAATACCGCTAAGCTAAAGGCCTGATGACGTTTAGTACACTCATTTATGCACTTGTTAGCAACTGCCTCTTTTGGAACCTGTAAAAGCTTTGTATATTCACCAGTGGGGTATTATTTACTGATGTATTTTAGGTCGTAGAACAAGATATTCAAATCTCATAAACTTGTGGTTTAAATTCACCAAGATAGCTGCCTAGTTCTCCATTGGTTCTCCTCACACCACAGCTCAATTTCTCTCCGATGGCCGTTATTTCTTCTAATCCTTGGCTGCTCCTGGTCTCTTGGACGCCTAGCAGGCTCATAATTATAAGGTTGTGGTCCGTCATATGCATTCGAATATTCATGTTCAACTTCTTCTGTGTCGAAACTAGCATTGGGATCCATGTTTATTAATACGTTACACCGGCCGCTCTCCCCCTTTTTTCCCCTTTGTTACGTCACACGCGGGAGGTCACGTGGGGAGGCTTTTTTGATGCGGAAGTAAAAATGTCTTACAAAAACGACGCCAGATGTCACTGTAGTGTATATTTATGTATATCTTTCTGAAAATCTAGTGTATACATCATTTTCCTACACATTTATTCACAAGTGTCTTTAACCTGGAAGTTGCTCTTTAAGCACAGATCATGTTTAAAGAATCTTAAATGAAAGGGGGCCCCAGAAGGGCTAAAATGCTAACTCATGTCAGTTTTTTAGGACTCATTCCTGCAACAATTGCATTTCAGTGAACATAAGCAATGAACCAAAGATTTCTGATTGTAGATTTTACCTGACAGTGCATATTTAGAAGAGATCAAATAACAAAAATGCCAACTAATATCTGATGGACTCATTCCTGCACCGCCCTGGCAGATTTTATTTTTTATGAATCTAAAATGTTCCTACTTGTCTCCAACGATGCCCAAGTTGATGGTAGGATATCCATGTTCCTGGATGGTGGACAGCAGAGTTGAGCGGTTGGAGTCTCTGATTTTTCCTGGGTGGAGGTCATCCTCTGGATTCAACAGCTACACAAAACACACACCAACAAAAACAGAGAGCATTTGAACTGGTAGCAAATGCAAATCACTTAAAGCAAAGATAAACAGAAAAATCTGTGTGTAATGTATCTGGTCCCTCTGTACCTCATTCCCAGTGGACATGACAGCAACCACAGGGAACTTGTGCACGCTGACCTCCGTCACCCCCACTGTAGCTAGCAGGCCGATCTCTGACGGGCCCATATGTGTTCCTTTAGCCAACACACACTCCCCTCGCCTGATGTCATGACCTATTGGCCTGTGCACACACACAAATATGTATACCGTTAGCTTTTCTTTGCTGAAGACGCATTTTACATACATACAAATGATGTGCTGCAAATAGGGTTTATAGCGATATATAGTTTATAAAATGGCTGTTTACTCTGAAACGCAGTCAAAATAGAAAGGTTGATTTTGTTTATGTTCTTTGCGTTAATCCAATTTGAGCCATGGAGCCAACATTTTTGACCTCCTCTTTCTCTTGATTTGATATCTTGATTTAACATAAAACCGTTTTCATTTATGTCCAAAAATGACAGAATATGGTTATTTTCTATCCAATGCTGAACACCATTCAAGTATGCTGGTAGGATGCTAGTGACTTGGCTTGCACGTATTCCAACGTGTTAATACATCTAAAAGTCTTGTAGGATTTGGAGCTTTACTTTTAGCAAGTTGTTTTTAAGCAGAGGACCAAGGATTGAACTTTGGGGAACACCAAATTGTATTCATAGTATTGTATTAGTTCAAGAAACACTGCAGCCATGAACAGGAATCATTGGCTTTCTTGTGTAGCTTTTATAGTTATTAGCGTTCACTTGATTCTATTAGAATGTCTTTACCTGATGTCCTGTCCGGGCCGGGCCTGGACCATAATCCTCACCTCGAGCTCCTCTGTGCCCTGAAATAAGCAAGATCATGATTTGTTACAAAACATCTACTGTAGAACTACAAAGGTTCTATCATCACTAGTGTACTTACATCCTCAGACTCCCTCAGAAGCTCTGTGTCTTCTACCTGGACCACAGCATCAGCACCACAAGGTATCGGAGCGCCGGTCGTTACCCTCATCACCTGACCTGGCATAACTGTGTGGGTGGGCTGCACGCGAGCAGTCACAAACACAAATACAGGATAAATGATGCTTCGTTGTAAATGGCTCAACTGTTTCAAAACTGTGCCACCAATGATGTGAGTAGCTGAGAGTTCATCTATGAAAACACACACTACCCCTTGGAACGATCACTTGATGCTGGTGATTGCGCTTGCACAATCAAACCATCGAACCATATTTTAGTAGCTGCATTGAAAGTATTAACAGCAGCGATACTTTTAGTGAAGGTAGGATATTTATTAAGCAGCAGTTTTCCACCATACTTGATATAAATCATTGGAGTTTTAAAAATAGAAGCAATGGTTCCAGGTTGTTACCACATTAGCACAGTGTTAGTGTATTATAGCTGACCTGCTGTCCAGCCTGTGATTCTCCCATGATGAAGCGATCTCCCGGGCCGTCCGCGGCTACAGCACAAACATGATGACGTTAGTTTAGGTTAACGATGGAAATTAGACCATGATTATCGATTTTTAGGTGAAAGCCAAGAGGACAGTTTCATACAGAATGCTGTGAACAAGTACATTCATAAATGTAACAGCAGAGACATTTGCAGTTGTCAGATAAGCCAAATGGAAATGGTAATTTATGTTTTACATTTGTGTCCCTGACATAATGTTTCATTAATGTTGTATGGAGTCGTGCAGTGATTAAGTTTCTTTGTAGGCCGACCTGAGCTCCCTTGACAAAAAGCCAATGGGATTTTTACATTGGATTTGAATGGATAGTAATAGATGATATTAGTTGTCTCACCTCGTACCGCATAGCCATCTTTAACGGAAGCCGGGAATGGAGGAAGGTTGTCTTTGGCATAGATGTCCTGAGCGAGCACTCGACCCAAACCGTCTTGAGAAGTGAGCCAAACCACGTCAAATTAGTGCAAACCATATATTAACAACAATCACAACAAATATTAGGGGGATAAAAACACAGAAGACTCACCTCTGTAGTTAATGACTTCAATTCCCAGAATAGGTGTCATCTCTAGAACAGTGATGAAGGCTTTGTCCATCGACGTCAATGGGAACGGAGACATGCGATGACGACGTGCCACTTTACTGATGTCCACTGCACTGTGGCCTACACACAATCAGGGAAAGGGGTTAAGTAAGTGGTGAATATGTTACTATAAACGGTACCATTAGGATTAAAAAGTCTCCACAGTTACTTACTGGCCCTCAGAATGTTCTCATTACTGCCACATCGGGACTGAACCTGCAGAGAGACAGACACATATTCCATACTTGGTTATTATTTCATGCAAATATGTATGGGAGATGATTTCAATACTTATTCACAAAAATAAAGTTGAGCAATTTAATTCATGTTGATTTATCTGTTCATAATGTCTAATATACAAGACATGGAATCATAGATAACATGAATTCTGGCTGTGAAGGTCAAAACCGGCACACCAGAATCTTTGTGTCTGATTATACACACATTTCACTTGAAGATATTTATATTTCAGTTTGCCAAACCTCAGTGTCATTCACTTCAACTCAATTCCAAACAACTCACAAGTCCTTACTGTCGAACACTTGGTCATATATTACTATTAATATTCCAATTCAAAGCCACATTTGGTACAGTATTGAAAGTCACATTTAATAGGCCAATCCACAAGACTCCTTACGCTTTGTTCAAAGTAGATGAAGTGGTTACATTAGAACCAAACAATTCTCAAAAATATCTGAATGAAAAACAACCTTTTTATAAAGTTTGCTATAATAAGTGATACATACAAATAAAGTTTAAAAACAATCAGAAACATCTCTATAATCATAGGGAAACAGTTCTTTATTGTTGTTATTTTATTAATAATATAAATGATTGGCAAGCTCTATGAATCTTGGAAAGCATACTACAATGTAAAAATATGCTGCACTTTACATTCAAGGTTTTTTAATATATTTGTATAGTTAAAACATTTGATTATTCTCAGTGCTAATGTGTATGTGCATGTAAGAAAGTTTGTGTGTACCTTGGGTGTCGGGCATGAGGCGGTGGAAAGGCGGGAGGTCGCCTGTGTTGCCCGTGGTGACTCAGAAGGGGTGGAGCTCAAAGAGGCTGAATCTCGAGGAAGCACCTGAACGCCTCGAGAAATGATAGAGTCCGGGATCTACAAACACACACAGACAAACGTACTTAATGGGAGTCAAATCAATTCCTTCAGTTGTTTTGCGGTCTACTACAACTTAGACTACTCTCGTTGCTAAAAAAGATATGGTATGCTGTGGCAAATTGTCAGCAATAATATTTATATTGACCTTGGCTGTAATGAATTGGCAACATCATTGGTTGTGAGCTCATAATGTGAATTATGACAAATCTTACTTAAGCGTCATGATTTAAATGCATCTTTACTAACTTGATTAGTTTAATCAGGACTTAAAAATAAATTGATTAGTTCTTATACAAAGCTGCATTCACTTTTTTTGACCACCTGGGGGCAGCAGAAACAAGCTGTTAAAATAACTTTGACATATAATTAACTTCAAGAATTGTTATGACAAACATGCAATCTTTAGAAGAACATAGCTAATATTAGGATTAAAAAAGAACTACATCAACACTTCTAAGCTAAAGGCCGCTAATGTTCGGCCTGATGACGTTTAGTGGGATTTTTTACGGTTGATTGTATGCCACAGAAGCTGTGGACATTCACCAGTTGGGTGTTTACTGGCATATTTGTATTGGTCATAGAACAAACAGAACATGCATCCAACAAAAAACACATTCAAAAAACATTGACTTCGAGATGATTGAACAGGAAGTGATGAAATGCTCACTCCTTTCCAGGTTTAAGGAATCATTCCTGCACCACTGTATTATCAAACAGTTTACACACCAAGCAGACATGTTGGAGTCCACCTAAAAACGTTTTCACTCCCCTTGTCGCTATTTTTGTCTTCACTCAACACCTGAGAGAAATATGCAGGTCTTTACGATCAAACGTTTCACTTTCTTAACTAGCTTGTTTTTGCTTTTTTCATTCTGTCATTTGGTGTGGGACAGCATATACATACACTATGTATAGTAGGTTTATTAATGAATATTTTTGCAGCTCTAGACACATTTGAATAATTTCAGACAGATTCAAATAAGTGTAATCTAGGTATGAAGAACAAAACAGTGTATGTGAAAGACATGATGAACCGACCAATGAGAGGAGAGGGGAGGTGTGTGTCTCACCTGCTGGTCATGGGAACAGGAGCAGGTGAAATGAGTGGGCGGGGCAGGTGTGTTGCCGGGCAGGTAGGGAGCCCCCTTAGCCATGACCACAGCATGGCTCGTCTGATGGACACACACACAAACACACATGCATGCGGGGTAGGTACAAACAGACAGACACATGTCCCCGTAAACAGACAGGTGAATGAGTTGAAATGGAGTGCTTCACAGTGGGAAATGAATGAATGAAACAGAACAAATATGACATTTATATTTCAAAGCTGCTCCTTGGACATCCTTAATGCTCCCTCCACTTTTCTTCTACATGGCATTACATTTTGAGTAATTGGAATCGGCTTATGTGAAAGTATCTTTAACGTGCTGGCTTTGCACCAGCAATTATGTTCTTCATTTGGACTGCAATATCAACACTTTCTGTAACTACAATACTTAGTACAAAAAAGACTTGGCAAAGAGCTATTCTTGTGGGAAATATTGAAGAGAAATAAACAAAGATTGTTTCACAAAGTAACAAAATAAAAATAGACTATTTGATTAATTATAGGATTGCAGCATATGTGAAAAATGTGTCCAAATTGTTGTAGGAATAGACGTTGCGTTGGTATTACTTGTTGCAGCTACGCAGAGGTCGCATTAACCGAATATTTTCCGTCTATGACGGATTTCTTTTAACAATGACGGAAAAATCTGAAAGCCGTCCGGCATTTTGACAGATTAGAACAAACTCAGAACAGCGCCACAGTTTCCTTGCAGCGAGGATCCGGTGTTATGCATGCCCGCCCAAAAGGAAATTATACAGTTTCCAAACCTAACTTTGCCGAACAGATCATTGAAATGTCTGTGAGTATTTGCTTTACGCTGTGCGCGATCCCACGAGGTGCGGTGGGCATGCATAACACGGTGCTAACAGTCCTCCGTTGACAGTTCACGAGCGTGTTCTCTCCCACCCCCCGGCAAAGTTGTGACGGGCAGCGAAAAAGTCTAGCACAACCTTTGCAGCTACGGTACTTGGTACAAAATGGACCATGAATGAAAACACTGTAGGGAAGAGACTTATTGATATACCAGACTAGGTTCAATCCTACTATGGCTAGAGCATATTCAGTCAATGTGCTCAATTGAGGCCAAATTGTTCAATTACATTTAAAATAATAAATAAAGCACTGGATAAATAAATGATTGTCAATAAAGTAGGCATTATTTAATGATAAGGTGTGACATACACTTCTGTTTGAATGTATTTACTTATCAATAAACTTGTGTTCATTTCCATTCATTTGTTTCACCTCTTATTAATTGAGAAGAGATTCATTGTAAATTATTAATTTCATTATTATAATAATGTTTATATTCCTATTTTTTTAATTTATATTTTCATATATATTTTCATTTATTTTTGTTTTATTTAAAAGTTTCCTTTTGTGTATTTCATGGTGTCAACTTCTTGCCAATAGGGAATGGGAGATGCATTGAATTATGGGGCAGCGCTTTGAAGGATAGTGTCTTCAAAAACAGTAAAGGAAACAAATTGTTTATTCGTGAAAGTAAAGGAGCCAAGACTGTTTCTGAAAATGGTCTGAAATGCTCTGCTGACTATCTCATTGAAATGTTTTACTAATATGTAATTTCTTATATTTGATCATATTTGTTGGGAGTCCTACAGCAGCATTAGAGCACAGAGTTGTGTGTAGTACAGTTGCCTGCTGCTGCAGCAGCAGCAGCAGCAGCAGCAGCAGCAATGACCCAATTTCCCCACAGGGATCATTCAAGTTTCATCTATCAGGTTTACAGCAGCAGCAGCAGCAGCACTGATGTGTGTCCCGTCCGCTGTTACCTTGGCAGCGATAGCGGCTGCGGTGATGTGGGAGGAGCCGTGCTGGAGGTGGTGGTGGTGGTGGTGGTTGTGCACGTGCCGCCCTCTCCTCATGTCCTCCTCCTCGTCCTCCTCCTCCTCGTCCTCGCACTGGGTGCCGCGCTCCATGGTGTGCATGTTGGAGTCGAGGTGCATGTTGGCCAGCAGAGGGGAGGGGGAGGGCAGCTGCTCCAGGGCGGCATGCGTGTTCTTCACCTGGACGATGGCCTCACGCAGCAGGTCGATGGCATGAGGCAGAGCAGGCAGGATGAACTGGAAACACTCCTGCAACACAAACCAAAGCAATGACATCAGAAGTCAGCTTGGAACTAACCCACCCTACATGATGCTGTCCCACTACTCGGGAGCTACTGCCCCCTCCTCTTGTCCACCCATAGAGGTTTTGAAACAGTGTGGTGAGGATTTATTGTTTCATCAAACTGTAAAATCCTCAAATGATGGTCATATTTTTTTACTGGTATTACCCAAGATAATGAGTGTGAAAGTGAAATAAAACATTTGAAATGAAATCTGTGGTTTTGACATGATCCCAAAGTTTTAGCCTTGTAAAATGTAGTCACTTTCTGAATTCTGGAAGTAGTGGTGCTGCATCTCAATTTGCATTCTTCTGTACTTACATCTACTGTTTAGAGTTAGGTACAGCAATATTCTCAAGTCAAGTCCTTCAAAAGTCACAATGCCTTATTTTCCCAATTGAATTTGCTTTCAAAATGACAAACATTTAACATTAAATGATATTCCACAGTTAGTGGGTTATTGTAGGTTTTGTATTGAATTATTTCAAGTAATTAGCATTAGATTTGTGAGAAGATTATCTCATAATAAGATGTTTTCTGTCTAGCAGAGTTCAGGATAAGCATAGGTGAGCAAAGTCACATGATCTTACCTGAGAGCCCTTCTTACTCCCTGGCAGGTTGATGATCAGAGTTTTACCACGGATACCACACACAGGCCTAGAGAAAGCAGTAGAAAGATGGTTAGAGCACAAGATATCATACCACACACTCTAATGAGTAGGCAGCGTGTCTAACTGACAGGCAGTGACCAAAGCAGTGAAAACATCAAGGGTTCACCTGGACAGCATGCCTAGTGGTGTTACATTGAGTGATCCCATCAGCATGGCCAGGGCCATCCCCGGAGCCTCCCGCTCTATCACCTCTCTGGTGGCCTGCAACACAAAACACCAGGAGATGGAAGTAGAAATACTAGAATAGAATAGTGGAAATACTATGTAGAAATTCTTTGGTCTTAAAGTACCTTATACATTCAAAATGTTACGAGTTTAGGTAAGAAAAGTGTGAACATCAAACTTAACATACGCTCAAATTAAAATAATGAATAATAACAAAGAACGAAAAGTATACATTATGCAGAGTGGCTCTTTTAGCTAAATCTTATTATTATTATTATTATTATTATTATGGTTCTTCTACTATCCTGTTTTAATCAAATATATGTGATAACATTTTAAAGCTGCAATTTGAGTTTTTTTTAAATATAAATACAACGTAGAAGTACATTTCTTTATTACATTTTATAAGCATATCGTGTTTTTTTTATACACAAAAAATAACTACGAGTGTTAAATCATTGTAGTGGAATTAATAGTATGAAAATAAAAAAATAGTACTTAAGTATAGTTCTTGTGTAAATGTACTTGGTTACATAAAACTGGTTATTTTTGTATCATTTGTTTATCCTAAAAACCATAGTCTTTAGTTTTCCTGTTTTTAAATCATAATAATACTTATTTGTTATGTTTTGATCAAGTTATAGGCTCAATGTTTGCTTTTTTTTTTTTAAATCCAACTTATTTAATATTGATATATACAGTACAGTTAATATAACCCCATATAATCATTTTTAAAGATCAACCAAAAACCATGACAGTCTGTTTTTTTTTATTTTATAAAATAAATTGATTAATTCAGTGATCCAATCCTAAATCAATATTCAAATTGGTGATGATCAAAAATGTGTGTAATCTCTTAATCAAATATTTGTAAACTTATATAGATTAGCATTTATAATGAGAAATAATGAAAAAAGAATGTCCGATTCAGTCCATTCCCAACTGGAACACTGATGATCAATCAACTGTGGCCCAATGCTTGTTGTATTGGGCTTCTGACACAGTTTGCCTAGTTGTGTTCTTCTGTACCTCAGGGGTGACATCTCGGGGTGCAAACCCAGTTCCTCCAGTGGTGAGGATGAGATTCAGCTGCTGCTCATCACACCACTCCAGGAGAGTGTCCTGTACACATGGAAACACACACAGTTTACAACTACACCATGCATTCCTCCTTTCTTTCAGGATTCTTTGTGTCAACAGATCAACATCCTGTGTGTACACCTTTCATCTGGGAATATGGGGAGTCATTTTCGACAGTCAGCTCAAATTTAACCACCACATAAATTACATCACCAGGACCGCCTTTTTCCACCTCAAAAACATTGCCCGTCTCCGCCCATCACTCTCCTCCTCTGCTGCTGAAACCCTGATTCATGCATTCATCACTTCACGACTACTGCAATAGCATCCTCTATGGCATACCATCCAACCTCCTCAATAAACTCCAACATATCCAGAACTCTGCTGCCCGCTTCCTCACCCACACCCGCTCCCGAGACCACATCACTCCCATTCCTTCCAGACCTTCCACTGGCTCCCCGGTCCGTCAAAAGAATTCCACTTCAAAAGTCCTTTCCTCATTTACTCACAAAAGCTCTCCCAACAACCAGGCCCCCCCCCCCTACCTCACCAAGACCTGGCTGCACCACCACACCATTCCCGCTGCCTCCGCTCCTTCATTTAAGCCAACCTCCTATTCCATCCCCCCACCCTCACCCAATCACCGGGAACCTGGGGGACAGGAGCCTCCACTCCCACAACCCCATCAGAGGACTGCACCGAACCCTCACCACCTTCAAAAAAAAAAAAAAAATCACAAAAACTCACCTCTTTCAATACTGGCTTTTAATGTGTGATTTTTTATTTAATATTGTTGACTTTAACTACTGCTATATATTTATTGTTGTTCCTTTCTTCTCTCTTACTTATTATCTTGTTAATGGCGTCTTTGAGCACCCTGTTAAAAGGCCGCTAACAAAGTTAAAATTTTATTATTATTTAGAATGTATTGA